AAATTTAATTATAATCATCATCAAAAACAATTATGATCATATTTTGGTAGTAATCATGTTTGAATATTTTTGTGCAAAGAGGCTTTCACCATCCTTCGCCATATTAAATTTTTTTTAAATATTTTTTTTAAAATTAAAATTTTTTTTTTATCACAACATGCAGTATTATCGATTTTTAAAAGATTGAATACAAACGCAATTATTATTATTTAAAATTTTTTTTTTTTTATTTCCCTAACCGGGGTTTTTATAAGATATGTGTGTATTTAGGTGTTAATAAAAAGAACAAGAGTAATTTTATTATTATAATAGTATTGGTTTTGTATACATTTTAGTTATTCTTTTGTAAGGTAAAAAATAAAACTGAAATTAAAGAGTTAAATTTGCAACGGATTGAAATATTTAATAGAGGAATGATATTTTCAATTAAAAAATGAAATTAAAAAAAAAAAATTTTCGTTTTATTTTTTTATTTTTTTATTATTTTTTTTTTTTTATTTTTTTTTTATTTTATTTTTTTTCATTTTATAATAATTAATAAAAAAAATGTATAAATCAATAATTCAAAATACATTAAAATCATGTTCAAAAAGTTCAAAAATATATAAAAATGTTTTAGGTCATAATATTGTTAATAGATATTATTCTTCAAATAATAATGATAATGGTGCCTCACCCACAGGCTCAGATCATAGAGCCCAAGGAAAGGGCAAAGAGATTGTATTATCATTTGATAAGAGCGACATGTCACAGTTCCCAAGAACTATAAATAGTAGGTGGTGGCAGTATTAATGTTTTAAAATTTAATTAAATTATTAATATTTTTTTTTTTTTTTTTTTTTTATTAGAGGTTAATAAAAAATATCCAATAACAGAGTTTGAAAAATATTTACAAGATGTTACAAAAGTTAAGGGACCAATGTCAGTCGATACTTTTATTAGAGAGGTTTTAACCAACCCAAAATTTGGATATTATATGAATAGAGATGTTTTTGGTAAGGGTGGTGATTTTGTTACAGCACCAGAAATTTCGAATTTATTCGGTGAAATATTGGGTATTTGGTGTGTTGCAACATGGGAACAAATGGGTAGACCTAAAAAGTTAAATATCGTCGAAATGGGTCCAGGTAGAGGAACTTTGATGAAGGATATTTTAAGAAGCACCAAAGTATTTAAAGATTTTTATTCAGCAATTTCAGTATACATGTTAGAAGCAAGTCCAGCATTAAAGAAAATTCAAAAAGAGAAACTATTATATTTTAAAGACCCAGCCATTAATTTTGACGATAAAACTGTTGGTAAAACACCAGAAGGTGTTAAAATAACATGGGTTTCAAGATTAGACGATGTTCCAGATACTACACCAACATTATTCCTTGCCCAAGAGTTTTATGATGCATTGCCAATCCATGTTTTCAGATTTTCAAAAGATTTAAATACATGGTGCGAAGTTTTGGTCGATGAGGATATTACTGCATCAAACGATTATCATCTTCGTTTCGTCCAATCAAGAGGTTCCACAGCAATGGCAACTGCAGTCAAAAATTACTTACCAGAGTTTGGTATCGATGGTTATCAAGTTGAGTTGGGTGTAGCAGGTTTAGCAATTTCACAATTGATAAGTAAACGTATCGAAAAAAGTGGAGGCGCAGCTTTAATTATCGATTATGGTTATGATAAAATCGTAAAGAACAGTCTTCAAGCTATTAGAAATCACGAGTTTGTAGAATTACTCGACAAACCAGGTTCAGCTGATCTTTCAGTTTGGGTCGATTTCCAAACCCTCAGAAGATGTGTTAAAATGATGAAAAATAAAACAACTGCTATTGGACCTGTAGACCAAGGAATATTTTTAAAGGAATGTGGTATTGAGCCAAGATTAATGAATCTTTTGGATAAATTGGACAGTAAAGAAAAAATGGAAGAATTAATTTTAGGTTATAAGAGATTAGTCGATCCTGCTGAAATGGGTACCACTTATAAAGTTATAACAATTTGCGATAAAAGCATTGTACCAGTTGGTTTTTCAACAGCAAAATCTTACGATGATGAAGATTTAATGTTAGATAAATAAATTAATAATAAAAAAAAAAAGAAATATTTATTTTAAAAAAAAAAACAATTTATTTTACTATTTTATTTGTTGCTAGATTATATATATATTATATGTGTATGTTTTATTTAAATGAATCCGTTTGGACTAAAACCTGGTGGGCCAAAGTCATCTCTGTCAGGACCTCCATAATTATTTCTATTGCCTCTATTGTTATTAATATTTCCTCCTGTTGGTGGACCGAATGGATCAAATCTAGCACCTGGTGGGACGGCACCACGTGGCATTCTTTGCTCCCAACCTGGTAAGCCTTGACCATATGGGTCGTTGCTGTCACGATATGGGTTGTGAATATCGCCAAAACCTGGATGGTCACGACCTATATAGGAGCCACCACCTGGGAATACTCTATTTGGTGGGAGGAATGGTTGATTGCCAAATTGAGGAAATCCTGGTGGGTATAAATCTGGGTCTCCAACTCCTCTACCATGGTCACCAATAAATCTAGGTGGTCTTTGTGGTGGACCAATTCTTAACGGATCGTCATAGTCGTCATTATATCTTTGTGGTGGTGCTCTTTGATTATTTGTATTGGGTGCTGAGGTTGTTGTAACTTGTGGTGAGCCGTTTGGTACTCTAATTAAACCTGGTACTAATTGATTTATAATATTAAATTCATAAATTGCTATAAATTCTTTTAAATTAGTTAATAAGTTTTCAACATCGCTAAAATTTGTATTGCTAATTAATTTTTCAATGCTAAAGTATAAATAAAAAAGGTATTAGTATTCGTCTAAATATAAATGAAATTAATAAATATTTACTCTATATCTAATGTACAAATTTTATCTTGCTTATCTTTAATCATTGCATTGACTAATAGTAATGTGCCCATTCTTAAGCATTTAATGTGATATTTCTTGAGTGGTGTAAGGTCGTGTGAAAAATCTACTGTAAAGCTATCATCACTTTTATTCCAATCTTTTGGGAGTGTATTTTTTGCACACTCTAACGAGGTATTTGGTTCATTATTAATATTATTTGGGTCGTTTGGTTCTGGTTGTGGGTGCAATCTAAATTCATGTTTTTTCATTATTAAACAAATAATAATGAAAGTTGCATCAAATTTATCTCGAATACCAACTGAATTATTAGTTCCAACTAATAATTTTAATTGTTCTCTTATAAATGATTCCATAGTTATATGAAATATGTATTATTTTATTTAGTTTTTTTATCTATCTATTTATTTAATTTATTTAGTTTATTTACAATGAAATTATTTTTATTGAAGAAAAAAAAATGTTTAAAATTAAGAAAAAAAATTAAAAAATTAAAAAAATAAAAAAATAATATTTTTAATTTAATTTTATTAAATTTTTTTATTTATTTTTTTTAAATTTAAAAAGAAATATAAAATATAACTAAAACAGGAAATAGTTTAAAAAAGGCACCTTTTCTCAATCATAAAGACTTGATTTTTTTTTTTCTTTTTTAATATTATTGTTAGTCCATTTAAATTAATATCAATACTAAAAAAAAAAAAAAAGAAAATAAAAAAATAAAATTTCAAATCATCATTTTAATTGAGAATAGTGATACTATAATAATATATTTATGTAATTTGTAAATAAATGGTATCTATATTTGATTATTTCTCTTTACTTGTTAATTAAGAGTATTTCAATATTTTATAAAATATATTTAATTATAAATTGAATTAGGAACAGTGACAGTGTTTTTGAAAAAAATTATTTTAATTAAAGCTCACGCCTATTTTTAGAAAATAACAATAAAAATATATATTTGGTATTTTCCCCCTTTTTTTTCCTTTTAGGTGTTTTTTTTTTTTTTTTTCCATAAATTTTTTTTTTTTTTTTTTTCC